TCGCTTGAGCCCAGGAGTTGGAGGTTGCTGTGAGCTGTAATGCCACGGCACTCTACCCAGGGGGGACAGCTTGAGGCTCTGTCTCAAAAAAAAAATAATAAAATAAAAAATAAAAAGCTGTCATTTATTCTAAGTACTTTCTTATAGACCGGTAATCTTTATGATTGTATCAGTTATTTTGAAAACATCATACAGGGTGGCCATAAAGTATGTAATTTACTATGTCAAACTATTTTAAATTGCACACAAACTTTATGGATACCCTGTGTTTATCTATTCTATTAATATTATCCAGTATCTAACAAGACTTGAGAAAATCTTATAGATTATTAAATATACTCCCCTAAAATTTTAAGATGAAGAAATTATAAACTAAGTAACTAGCCTAAAGATGTAGAACTACTCAGAGATACAGCTGTAACTAGAAGATGTCTTTCCAAATATTTGTGTTTTTGCATAAGAATACTGTAGACTTTGGAATCAGTTCACACCCCAACTCTATCATATAGTGTGTCAATATAACTTAGGATAAGCTGTATAATTATGTGAGACTAAGTTTCCTAATTTATAAAATGGAGTACAATCTACCTTCCTGAACTATTGTGAGGATTAAATGTGACAATGTATATAAACTGCTGGGCAAGGACCTGGCACACAGTACATAAACCTAAAATAAAAGCTACACTATATTGCTGCTAGTCTACTATTCTCATAAAATATTGAAATTATTTCCTTAAATTGGTGTGGTGGGGGGTGGCACCCGTGGCAAGGTGGGTAGGGTGCTGGCCCCATATACCGAGGGTGGCGGGTTCGAACCCAGCCTGGCCAAACTACAACAAAAATAATAAATAATATGGTGATGCCTTCCACGACTACTGGACATATGTTTCATTTACGTGTTTATTATAGTGATGTATTAGAATTCATTTTAATTACTAACTATAGTGATAAAACAGTATTAGAGTATACTCAACATTTTTAATAGTGTTATACACTAGAATAAAATAATGATCCTCAAAACTAGTAACAAGAATCCAAGGGAGGGTAATTGGTGGGACCACACCTACAGTGCATTTTACAAGGGTACATGTTAAATCTACTAAGGGTAGACTATAAATATCTTAACACAATAACTAAGAAAATGTGATGAGGGCTGTGTTGACCAGTTTGATGAAAGTATTTCAAATTGTACATAAAACTGCACATTGTATCCCATAATTGCATTAATGTACACAGCTGTGATTTAATAATTAAAAGAAAGAAGATAAAAGATAAGTAAACACCAAAGCTAACCTCAAAAAAAAAAATAAAATAAAATAAAAAGCCTGCTGTAGACCAAGGACTGACAAACTACATCTGGAGGCCAAATCTGTCCCAAAGCCTGTTTCTGTCCGTGAAGCCTGGAACACTTCCTTCCATTTGTTTACTTGTTGCCTATGGCTGCTTTTGCACTAGAGCAGCAAAGCTGAGTAGCTGCAACAAAACTTGTGTGGCCAGTGAAACCTAAAATATTTACTGTTTGTCCTTCTACAGAGAGTTTGCCATGGCCTACTATAGATCATGGCCAGTACACTGAATTGATGATAGTTTCTATTTCTATGCTATTCTATAATATTTTCCTATAAGAGATATAGGGAATTTTTTGTTCTTTTTCTCTATTATAGAAACTAAATAATTTTGAGGAAAAATTAATTTGGTAGAAGGAAGTCATAGGCAAGCAGGATAGTTATCAGTAGCAACAGCTTGGCGCCTGTAGCTCAGTGGTTAGGGCACTAGCCACATACATGAAGGCTGGCGGGTTCAAACCTGGGCGGGGTATGCTAAACAACAACAAATAGCCGGGCACTGTGGCAGCTGCCTGTAGCCCCAGCTACTTGCTAGGCTGAGGCAAGAGAAACGCTTAAGCCCACAAGGAGTTTGAGGTTGCTGCGGGTAACGCCAGGGCACTCTACCAATGGCGACACAGTGAGACTCTATCAAGGAAGAAAGAAGGAAGAAAGGAAGGAAGGAAGGAAGGAAGGAAGGGAGGTGGGAAAGGAGGGAAAGAAGGGAAGGAAGAAAGAAGGAAAAGGAAGAATTAGTAGTAAAAAAAGATTAGTAGAACTGGTATTTATAAAGGAGAGTTATTTGTCTCTAATGTTGAAAGCATAAAATATACCCATTTCCCATTCATGGTCCTTTCATAAACAATGTTGATTCCTTAGGGAACTTCTTGTTAAATGGAAACACTCTTACCAGAAAATGAACCTAAAACTATAACAAATTAGCTTTAATATTATTCTGCTCAAGACTAGATAAGTAACAGATGGGTTCACTTGTGCAGCTGGAAGAATACAAGTTACATTTTTTGTTTTCTACAAAAAATAATTTCTTAGAATTCTACAAATGGCTCTAATGTGAATTTGATAGTCTTAGACAAGTTGCTTGTACTATGGTAACACATTTCTATTGTTAAAATAAATATTTTAGTTATTAAAATTACTTGGGACATATAGCATTGGATTAGATGGATGAAAGATTAAAAAAACAAAGGAGCACTTTAGGAAAGGAAGCTTTGTGCTTTTCAAAATCAGTGTTTAAAAGAAAAAATTATGACTCTAGTATAGAATACAGGGATAATCCTTTTTCAAACTTCAATTATGTAGTTGTAATAACAGAAGTTAATGCTGAAATTATACTTTGTGCAAAGCACTTTGGTAAGAGGTTTAACTCATTTAATCTTCAGCCCAACCATGAGACAAATGTTACTGTATTTAACATATTATGATGAAATGGTAGAGCCAGAACATAAACTCAGCCTGTTGGACTTAAAGCCTGTTTTATCTAATATATTATACTATATTCAAATGCTTTCCTAGAAATATCAACAATCTTTGAGAACTGTAACTTGCCCATAAAATACTTTGAAGCTCTTAGAAGGCACCAAATAGAGGGAATTATTATTAGAGAAAAATCCTCAAGTTATCTGCAAAATTACTGTTATTTAAAAATACATATAAAAAAGTACAGGGTGGCCATAAAGTTCACATGCAATTTAAATGTTGTTCTTGCTAAAAAAGTTGATATAAAATATTTTAAAACCTAGGCAGTAACATAAAAAACAAAGCAAATCTGACAGACTGTCACAGCCCAGAGCAGCTAAGGAGATATAACTACTACATGTAATGTATCTTGGAGGGGATCAGGGTATAAGGACATTAGATAAAAACTAAAAATATATGAATAGAGTATGAACTTCAGTTATTAATACTACATCAATATTGGTTAATTATAACAAATGTACCGCACCAATACAAGGTGTGAATAAGAGGGAAACCAGGTGCAAGTACACACAGAGGATCAAGGGAGATGAAATGTGGACCCGACACATGGCTGTACAAATGAGAGAACCTAAAAATAAAACTCGTACACGACAGAGCCTATATTATAATTCAGATGGACTACTGGATAAATGATGCAGAAATCACGCTGCTTATCCATGTGGAACAAAATTATGTTCCTTACAACAATGATAAAAATAAATTTTAAGGGATTAAAGAGATGAATCAAAAAAGCAAACTGTAGGAACTGCTAGAAAGTACAGCAGACCTATTTTCATGACTTCAGAGGCAGAGAAGAGTATCTTAAAACACAAAAAGCAAAGAAAGCACTAATAAAGTTGAAAGACAAGCTATACTCTTGTACAAACAACTGACAAAGAATACAATATTTAAACAATGAAAGCAAATAACCTAACAGAACAATGGACAAAGGTAACAAGGTGAGTCACAGACGAGAACTCCAATAAACACACGAAAACACACTCAACTTTCCTAGTAATAAGTAAACCACTACAGAATCTAGACATTATTTCAAAGGTTGGCAAAAACTTAAAAGCTAAGAGCAACAAGATGTGGAGAAATGGGGAAATCATACTTTGGTGTGAGTATAAATTAGAATAACCACTTGAATTGAAGACGTTTATGTCCTACAGTACAACTCTGCTCTTTAGTATCCCACCCATGGAAACTCTTGTTCATACGCAAGGAATGAGTGTGTTGCAAGAATGTTCACTGCAAAATGGTTTATAATAACAAGTGGGAAAAATTACGTGTCCATCAACAGAAGATGAGTGAATGAACTGCAGCATATTTACACAACAGAGTGCTCTACTGCAGTTACGATGAACAAATAAGCAGCACACTTACCAACATGGATATCATTACAAACACAAAACTGAGTGAAAATACCTAAAACAGACATATGTGGCTGGATACTTTCCAGATGACCCTCGTGTGTGACGTGTTAAGAACGCAATGTAGTTGGGTTGGAAGTACATGGGCATGTGCTATTTTCTATACTTCTATCTGAAATATTTTATAATATAAACTTCTTTAAAAGAAAATACATTTTAAAATATGAACTAGAGCCGCAGTATTAACATAAATACATCTCAAAACCAAAAAGTTGAGCTAAAAAATCAAGTTGAAGAAACACATGCAAAATATATCATTTATACACTATGTAAAACAAAGGTTATTTATAGCTACATACATATTGGTAAACGTACAGACTTTCATGGAAATGATACACTCCAGATTCAGAATGATGGTTACTTCTGGATAGGGAATAACAGGAATAGAATTAGGGAAGGGTACATAGGGAACTTCACCTACATCTGTAATATGATTTCTTTTAAAAGTCTGAAGCAGGCTCGGCGCCTGCGGCTCAAGTGGCTAAGGCTCCAGCCACATACTGAGCAGCAGGTTTGAATCCAGCCCAGGCCTGTCAAACAATGATGGCTGCCACCAAAAAAAATAGCCAGACATTGTGGCAGGCGCCTGTAGTCCCAGCTACTTGAGAGGCAGAGGCAGAAGAATCACTTGAGCCCAGAAGTTGGAGGTTGCTGTGAGCTGTGATGCCACAGCACTCTACCCAGGGCGACAGCTTGAGGCTCTGTCTCAAACAAAAAAAAAGTCTGAAGCAAATACTGCATTTGCTAACACTTGATATAAGATGGTTTTAAAAAATGCACTTACATGTATATATATGCATATATGTAAACAATAATAAAAAGAGTAAGAAGAAAGCTAATATTTGAGCATTTATTATATAGCAAACACGCTTCTAAGTATTTACATGCATAACCCTTAAAACAATCTAGGAGGTAGATTCTTTTACTATCCTCATTTTATAGATGAGAAACTAAAGCAGAGAGAAGTGAAGTTGGTCCCAGGTTAGGATTCCTACTCCAGTTTACACCTTAATAACCATGTTACTGTTATTGTATCATTCACTATTCTTTTCTTTACACTGGAAACATTTCAGAAAAAAGCACTTATAACCTAAGACAACAGAAATGTAAACATACACACCCATGTATTTCCAGATAGTTCAAACTGGTTCTAAAGATGCTACATGAATTCTAGAAACCTCTTTAAAATAGCAACATCCCAGCTACTCTAATTTGCATGTTTTGATTTCATAGTGAAACATTATTTCCTGAGTAACTCTAGAATAATATATATTTGAGGCCTTAGGCAAGGGACAGGGAAGCATCTCATTTCTCTCATTTGAGGCAAAATTCAGTTATACATCTTTACATCTGCAAACTCAAGAGTTTTTACTAAGAAATTTAATAGAATTTTAATTATTCCTTTTTTTCTGGTCTCTTAACTTATAAGTCAGTTTATTTATTTATTTTTTTAAAGCCTACATTTTTATTTTTATTTTATTTTATTTTATTTTTTTGGGACAGAGCCTCAAGCTGTCCCCCTGGGTAGAGTGCCGTGGCATTA